TTTTTACTTCTGCACCAAAAGTTGTAGCACAAAACTTGAGGACTTCTGGGTGGCACCTCTCTCCTTTATTTCAGTGGGTTGGGAAGCCAGAGCGATGATTTTATTAGAACTGTGGCAAGTTAAGGATGAGCAGTAAACTGAGCGATGCAGAGAGAGGGCTGGCCTCCTGTTTGGCGTGCTCTCCCGATAGACCGTGAAAAATGCTTTGAGAGCCTTTATTTTACCTCTGGGTTCTTCACTGTACTTCAGAAAGCAGTGGGGGTCTGACATCAGCATATCTTAGGTAAGTGAGACAGAAAAAATTGTCCAAATATAACTTCATGTTTTGGCCCCCACAAAAGACCTGAAATCTCCATAAGGTGAAACCCTTAAAAGTGATAAATTGCCATTGTAAAAACTTGAAATGTATTAGAGAGACAGATTTAAAACGTTACAGGGCATCGCAGAATAAAGGAGTTAGCAAATCCTGCACCGTTTTAATTTCAGTCATCAGTTCCTAAGAAAGTTTGGTTGGCCTTAGACATATTTCTGAGCCTACTTCCCAGAGGGAACACCTTCCCGAAGGGACGATGTGTGTTTATCCCACCAACCCTCAGTCTTCTGGGCGTGGGGCTCTGAGATCAGGAATCCCAAGTGAATGTGTCATGGTACAAGATCTGAACCAGAGACAGAAATCCTGTTGCTGCCCTGCAGGCGTGCTTGTGCCAATTTAAAAGGCGTTAGCTCTGCAGGAAATGCAGAGGGCTAAAGGGGTTTTGCATTGACTGTTTCCGTTATCTTGAGATCTCCTGATTTATTAAAATTTCTTCACTCATTATCCAAACTCTCATACATGTTCAAAGGCATGTGGTTTGCAGCAAATAGCAACATTATTGCTTTTCAAGGGAGCAAAAGTGAGTCTATGTCTTAGCAATCTAATCATTCCCATTTTTTCCTGAAGTCACAGAGAATTTCTGTTCAGAGATGCTTCTCCTTTTCTCTTGCTCATCCACCTCTTCAACTTTTGCAAATGTTTTGGGGCACGGTTACTATAGAGACAAGCCACAGCACTGGAGTTTGGATGTGGTTTGTTCCACAAAGGCTTTTGTGCTGGAAGCTTGGTTCCCAGTGTGGCTGCATTCGTTAGTGGTGGGACCTTTAAAAGGAGGGGCTCTGGGGTGGGGGTGGGGGCTCCGGTCAGAGGGCTCTGGCCATGGAAGGGGTTAATGCTGTCTTGCCTTGTGGGTCTGTTCTTAAGAGCACAGATCGTTAAGAAGCAAGTCCATCGCTCATGTTTGGTCTGTTCTGCACGCATCCACTTCCCACTTCTTGGCCACGTTGCAAGGTGGCCGAAGGGTCCTTTGCCAGGACATCGGCTGTTTGGACTTTTCAGCCAAATAACCACAAGCCAAATAATCTCTTAATTCATATACAACCCAGACTCAGGGATTTTGCTACAGGAACCCTGCCTCAACAAAAGCCTTGCCTCACGACCCAGCTAAAATACCCTACACCCCTCCTCATCTTCTCACCCCAAAGCTCAGGACCTATCTTAATTTGTATTATGTAATTTGTTATTTCTGGTCACTTTTGCCACTACAGTGTGGGCTCCATGAAAGTAAGAGCCTTGTCCATGTTGTCAAGGCTGTGTTCCCATGACTGTGAGCATGATAGGCATTCATTTACTTGACGAATCGGCCCAAGGCAGTGAATCTCTCTTTTTTCTGTTGAGTATATCTTATTTATTTTATTTTATTTTATTTTTTATTTATTTTTTCTTGTATTTATATATGTATACAATGTTTGGGTCATTTCTCCCCCCTTCCCCTACCCCCTCCCTCTCCCCCACACCCCCTTGCTACCCGGCAGAAACTATTTTGCCCTTATTTCTAATTTTGTTGTAGAGAGAGTATAAGCAATAATAGGAAGGAACGAGGGTTTTGCTGGTTGAGATAAGGATAGCTATACAGGGCATTGACTCACATTGATTTCCTGTGCGTGGGTGTTACCTTCTAGGTTAATTCTTTTTGATCTAACCTTTTCTCTAGTTCCTGGTTCCCTTCTCCTATTGGCCTCTGTCGCTTTAAAGTATCTGCTTTAGTTTCTCTGCCTTGAGGGCAACAAATGCTGTCTAGTTTTTTGGGTGTCTTACCTGTCCTCACCCCTCCCTAGTGTGCTGTGAATCTCTCTTACCAGATTCTTGCCAGCTGCGCTCACCTGTGGTCTGTGTCCCGGAGGGTTTCTGAGAGGCGGAGAGCTTGCACTCTGAGATGCTCTGTCCTCGCCCAGGAGCACAGCTGCTGCTCTGAAATCACACCTCTACCGCACACTGTGCAACCCTGAAATCCACATGCTGTCCTTGGGGATGGAGAAGTCTGCGCCTTCATCTTGACACATGGGTGGCTCCCAGGAAGTCCTTCAGACAGTCTCGCTCAGGAGGTGCATCCTGAATCCACCTTACACTCACCTTTCTGAAGGCTCCCATCCCCAAGGCCACTCACTCACACTCATGTCCCACCAAAGAGTTACACTGCCACTCTGCCCACTTTTTCCTTGTGTTTCCCCCGCCCCCACCCAGCCTAATTTCTGCTCTCCTAGATGCAAACACAGACTTCCTCCTGGTGGACTGAGCTCTTCTCTCTCTCTCAGGACCACAGGGCAGCATCTTGCCAGCCTGGGGAAGACACTGTCCCTGGCATGTCCTATTTGATGGGGTGTGGAGGGACAGAACTTGCTCCAACTGTTGTACCTCATCCTTCACATTAAAAACAAAAAGTCTGAGCCAGGTGTGATGCCTCATGCCTATAATCACAGCTACTTGAAAGACAGAGATTGATAGGATCATGGTTGAAACCTGCCTGGGCAAAAAGTTAGTGAGATCCGTTCTCAACAAAAAAAAGTTGAGCATGGTGGCACCCATCTGTCATCCCAGTTATGCGGGAGGCATAGGTAGCAGTTGGAGGGTTGTGGTCCGAGGCTTGACCCCCGGCAAAAATAAGACCCTACCCCCAAAAAATAAACCAAAGTAAAAATGTCTTGGGGCATGGCTCAAGCCATAGAGTGTCTCCCCAGCAAGCACAAGGCCCTGAATTCAAACCTCAGTTTCACCATCGTCCTCTGCAACACACACACACACACACACACACACACACACACACTCCCCAGCAGTCTGCAGGCACTGGGGCAGGTGTTCTTCCTGCAGACACAGGTGAGCACCCCGAGGTTACTTATTAACGATACCTGGGCTCAGACGTATCCTTTATGGGTTTCCTCCCTTCCTCTACTTTGCCCTCCACTCCCATGTCAAAGCCAAGCACCTGGAAAACCAGTCATTCTTCCTGCACTGTGCAAAGCAGGCCACTCCACGTGTGACCCATGTCACCGGTTTCGGCTCTGCAGGCCCTCACACCTCTCTCTGCATCGCCCCAAGGTGTCAAGTTCATTGTGCCCTCTGCAGACCCAGCCGGGCCTGGATTCATGCTCTGTTCTCCGACAGGATGGCTGTGCCCTCCTTCTCTCAAGCCTGCCCCTGTGAGAGCAGCCTTCCGCCGCAGAGGCCAGGCTGGCAAGGCAGGAACGTGTGCCTAGGACAGCATGGCCTAGGTCAGAAACAGTGAGGACGTCTCGCTGGTGACAGAGGTCACCAGCTGTGAGGGAGCACGGAGGACTGCAGAATGGAGGTGACTCCTGTTACAACACCCCAACGATGTGGCTTTGTCACTGAGACAAGATGCAGCCTTATGCCACAAAGCAGGGCTCTGCTGTGAGTTGGGGGCCACACGGTTGCCAGGGCAACACAGGAGCGTGCAAGGCAGGCCTGTGATGGCGCCCACTGAGGCTGCGAGCGGTAGAGAGTCCCTGCGTGGGCTGCCTAATGTGAGGAAGCTATGCCCAGCCATCGGGGAGCATGGCAGGTCATCAGGGGAGCTCCAGGTCACCTCCAGGCTGTGACCCACTGTACAGGAGTCTGGTTAGGGTGGCTGGACAGTCCATAATTCTTCCTAGTGTCCCACGTACGTTGTTGGGATGGTTCCCACTGCAGTATCTCGGCAGCCGGGTAAACGCACGTTATCTACCGGAGGAAAACATTTGAGACGCTCACGCACAGGATCGAATCTGGCCATGGTTTTTATTTATGTCAACTTCGAAAGTGAGAACTCTCAGATGAATGCCAACAGAATCTGTTCCTTTGGGGCTTTGGGGTCCAAGGTCTGTGTTTTAGTACAAGATGGCTGTAAACCACACGTATTTTCCAAACAAAATATCTTCACCCTTTTACAAAGCCTGTTTTATTCATCACTTGTCCCCTTTGAGAAAACGTTCTGGACACCTGACATCGCACTGTCACAAGAAGGAAGAACATTATAGTTATTCGCTAGTAAGTTTATTATTCTTCCCTCATTTTGTTGTAGCAATTCTGAATTCTTTAGTATAAAGAGAAGCCAAAAGAAAAATCTCTCTAGTCCTGTGTTCAGAAGTTCGGTGAGGTCTGCTGAGTTAGCCATATGTACAGGATAGAAACTCACTCGTGTGTACATGTACCTAGTTACGGTGACCTATTCAGCAGAAATAGTAGACTTAGAAGCTACAAAAATAATCATTTTGGATGGGCGCATGCAAACCATTACACTTAAACCTATTTATAAAACACATCTCTAGGGCTTTTTCGTTTTTGCTTTTAAATATAAATGTTCCTATTTAGCCACCTGCTAAATGACTTAAACACAAATCTGAAAGTCGCGATTGGAAGTATAAAATCCGTTTCTATCCACCTCAGTGCATCGCTTTAAGTGTTCCTCTCCTACTAGTAAAGTCTAGATAATTTTGTCACATACTAACTGTAGGACACATCTCATTTCCCATGTACTAGACATCCCCCCAGAGTCACGTTCTCTTCTGTTACACTTTCTTTAATATTGCAAATATCATCTTGGCTTTTACATTCTCACAAAAACGGACACAGTGAGCCTCGTCTCATGCCCTGGTGCCCGAGGATGACACAGCAAGGGCTCCCCTCTCCCTCAGTGGTCCACAGAGCCATCGGTGTCCGCTGCTGACTGAGTGGCCACAAAAGGCTCATTCTGCTTCTGGTCCTCCTTCATGCCAGCGGCCTGCTCGGTGATGGAGGAGAAGGACAGCTGATCATGTTCCATTATGTGCACCTGATCTTCATCCTTGTCCTTCTTCACATAGAACATTTTCCTGAGCTTTTTCAGCTCATGGAGTTCACAGAAGGTTTCCAGGACTACCAACATGGCGATGAGACCGAGGAGCAGGTAACCTGTGTAGGGACAGGATGGCATCTCAGTGCGGTCTAATCTAGCCAGGGGTAAACACAACCCAAGAACCGACCCCTCCTGTGCTACACAGAAAAGTGAGTGAGGACATTCATTGCTAGTCTTCTGATTTCTAAGAAAGTTTCAGTCTACCGCTCAAGGATGAGCTGCCAGAGGAAGACAGTGAACAGTGAACTTGGATTATTTAGACTCACAGGCTACAGTTTTTGAGGGAAAAAGAAATAGTCTGGTGCTAAAGTAGATTGCTTAAGACAGGTAACACATGGTGCCCGTCTAAGTTTGGCCTCCTACTGGGAGGGTCTCGCCTCTGCCGTAGACACAGTGGCTCATAAAAATCCAGTGACAGTTTAGAAAAGTTTTCAATGTACCACAGGCACCTTTTGAAGCACTCGATATTCTCATTGTGATTTCTAGTACTGAATAAGAAGTTTAGCAATAGGAATTACAGGTTAAGTTAATTGAAAATTCCTTGAAGAACTGACACTGATATTAAAGAGCCTCAGTGCAGCTCTGCTGCTCCTGGTCAGTCCAGCAGTAATGGGAGCTCTCTGGCAGCCAGCGTCTGGGCAAATGGGCCATAGTGAGTACCTCTACTAGTTTCGTGTTCTTAAACGGTAACTGTTGATCCTGGTACAGAGCTAGTTCTTGCATTTTGTGATAGGAAAATGATAACTTTAAGTGAGTTCCAATGTTTTAAAATCCTTTTCCAGAAAGAACATATTCATCATGGAAAGGAAGAGAAAAGTGGACATGTATACTCCAAGAAAAACAAAAACCTAATTTCCTGTCTCAGCAGTGAAACACCTGAGAAAGACTTCCAGAAAATACATGATCAAAGAAGACTGGAATTGCCAGCAAAATGGAATAAGGAAGCTGGCTATCCCAAGAATGTAAAGTTTTAGGGCTTCAGCATTCGAACACAGGTTTTGCTAACGAAGGTACTTTCTCATGTTTTACAAACGGTGATAATGCGAGACTAACCGGCAAGCCTAATGACTTTCCCTCATCATTACTTAGCCAAACTTTTGAATGAAGGCAGAAATACCTATAGGGTTGCAGGCAAAAGCTGTGGGATTTTATCCTACCCATGACTAATATAACTTTGGAACGTTCACTTGGTAGATTTTTTTTTTTTTTTGGCAGTGCTGGACTTTGAGCTCAGGGTCTTGCTCTTGCCGAGCAGGTGCTCTACCACTCAAGCCACTTCCTCAGTCCACACGTTCTACCTAGAGAACTTTAACTCTAGGTAGACTGCCTAGAAAACAAGGTCTACATTGTGACAAGTGACAAATGTTATGCAAGGACTGAAAAGTAAAGGAAGCTAAAATGTTGGTTGAAATGAGAAGACAGCTAGCAAACACAGTACAGAAACACTCCACTTCCTAAGTCATGAAGAAATGGAAAACTATCACCTGCTTCCTTAAAAGTTATCAGAAGCGTAATATTTATACTGAAATCAAATTCACACACAGATTAAAAGAAAAACAGAATTCTACTGCCAATACCACCTCAATAGGACTGAAACTCAGGTAAGTCTGGTGACCATGCAGCTCACATGCTACCTGGAACATTCCAGTTCAGCCAAGCGAGAAGTCACCTAGTGAACAAGAGAGGCGTGGGTGGACGGTGGTGTGGCCACCTGGTAAAATTTTATAAGAGCCACTGAAAAGAATACTTAGGAAATACGAGATCCTCCTTGTAGAACCACTGGCAGATACGTCCTGAACTTGTGTGGTAGCCAGGCACTGTTCAAAGCACCAGGCATTTATGAGTGAAGTCTTTATTCCTGTTGAGCTCACAGTTCAATGGAAGTGTTAAAACCCACACGGTTCCACCAGGCATCTCACGGGGTTAACACGACAAGACAGGGCCAGGGCCGAGAACCTGATTCCTGAGCGTCTGTTAGGCTGCCTAGAACACCTGACCAAGTGGAGTCATTAACTGACAGATCCTTGAGGAGGCAGAGATGGAAGCTGGGTGGGCATTATGACTGGGATTCCTGTGTCCTGAACACACAGGGAAGGCTCACACAAAAAGGAAAGTGTCTTAAAAACAGATGGCTGAATTTTCCAGGCAATTGTGTTGAAGTGAAAACAAAAACTGCTTAAAAATTACACATCTCTGGCCATCAGAACTTTAATGTCTATTTTATTTTCTGCCTATAAACTTCTGGACACAGTTACCATCAAGTCACTTCTTTGAAAAAGAACCGGATGGACGAATGAGACATCTATTTTAAGTGCTTCCTGGAAATTAAAGAACACAACAGACTGTAACAGGTTACAATCTGATTGTAGATTAGTACATCCAAGGTCTACTTACTGCTTAAAAACATTTAATAGAGTAGAGTAACTTACTTTATTAAGAGCTGGTCAAGTACATTCTGCACAGTATGTTGTTACGCTGTCATTTGTAATGGCTGTTCTAGCTACAGTAAGAAATGGGCCGGTAAGCTTAAGGTGCCTGGGAAAAATAAGTGAGTAAGAATGATTTTGCATGAAGTGCTTCCACGGGCGTCATGCGGTGGAGCAGTTGTGAGAAGGTGGAAAGACAGACACTTATCAAAGAGAAAGCCAGCAGGGTGCTCACGCTGACTGTCACTGGGCAGAACTGAGGCAAGCGTGGCGCCCAGTGCCGGGTACTCACATGTGATCCCAATCTTGTAGAGTTCTCTGAACTTCTGATTGTAGCCTTCTCCAGGCACATAGTCCCCCAGGCCGATGGTGCTGAGGGAAATGAAGCAAAAATAAAAAGACTCCAGGAAGTTCCAGTCGTCCTCCAGGACGGAGAACACGGCAGCCGGGATGAAGAAGAAGCAGGACACAGTGACAAACCCCAGCAGGACGGCATGGACGATGGCCACCACCTGCTTGGAGAAGCCCCAGCGATGTGGAAGTAGAGGACGGGTCTGCGGGTGACATGCACAGTGACACGCTGGACCACGGCCGTCAGGAACAGGAGGGTGAAGGGAATCCCGATGACAGAATAGATGATGCAGAAGGCCTTGCCCCCATCCGACAAGGGCACCGTGTGGCCATAACCTGCAAGGAGAGAGGCCAGCTGAGGTGGACAGGAGGCCGGAGGCCGGAAACAAGCTATTAAACAGCATATGCCTACAGCGTGAACTTAGTCCTCTCAAACCAAGGTGACAAGAGACTTTAGGTCTCACCATGTAAAGGTGCTCGCCTATTGTTCTGTCAGTAAAGTTCAACAAGGTGTGCCACATAACTGGGAAGTTCACCATTCTTTATTTTTAATTTTTTTCCTGCTATTGTGATTTGAACTCAGGGCCTTACACATGCTAAGGCAGTGCCCTAAGCTTGAGCCACACCCCCAGTTCTTTTATTTTTACTTTGTTTTTGAGATGGAGTCTTGCTAACTTTGACCAGGCTGACCTGGCACTCAAGATCCTCCTGCCTGTTCCTCCTGAGTAGCCAGGATTAAAGGTATGCACCACTATGACCAGCTAAGTCTACCATTCTTCATGAAATCTGACCCATATAGCGTTCTTTGGTTTAGGATCCCAAACCAGGCTAAACAGGTCGAACGACTGTTCAACCTGCTCTGATCCTGTCCTGGGATCAGAACAATCACCCTAGGACACCCCCCTCACCAGGGCCGACCCATGGGGGACACTCCCAGTCAGTCTACATCACCATTCAAAGCAGATTACTCACAGAAAGTTCCAGCTGGAATAACTGACAAATAAAGGTGTGTGAGGAGAGCCAAGCTGGTAGAGCACAGCAGAGGGTGGGGCACACTCAGCCAAGACACAGACTGAGTCAAAAGCTCAGGGAGTCATGGGGTGGACTGTGAAATAAAAGTATTTTATCCAATTATCTGGCTAAATGTGACATTCAGAAACCTACACCTTGTTTTTGCCTTTGTCATGCAAACATTCAAAGATTCCATAAATTCCCCCAAACAAACATTATAACAGTCACGTTAGGACCAGTGGTCACACACCCATCTGTTGTACTTTGCACTCAGTTTGAGTCACTCCCAGGTCGCCAAACAAGGTGTCTTCACCCAAGAAACGCCAGGCAGAGAGAGCCCAGCCGGGCGGAAGGCTACAGGACCGTTTTCCAAACTTCCTCCCTACAGGACTAAGGTGTCTGAACAAGTCAGCTCAAGAGAAAGGCACCTAAGTGCATTTCGTATGAAATCAGAGTCTGAATAATTGACACGAGCCAATAAAATGGAGAAAAGTGGTTTCGAAATCAGATCTTGAAAATACATCTTGCTTAAAAACAAATCCACACTCCAAGAACCCTCAAGTGGCAAATCCACATTCCCTCTGGCAACCTGGGACCCAGGTGTAAGTGGGCCTTGATAGTTCTTCCTTGCTGATCACAGTTTATGAAGGAACCACAGCAAGTCTTCCGAAACTGTGCACACACCTACATCTGCCCACATGTGCACTGTGCATGTGTGTGCACGTGTGTGCACGTGTGTGTGGACATTCAAAGCTCAGATTCTCGGATGGCTGAGAAACCACTGCTCCGAGCATCTGTTCCTGACTCCATCTGGGTCCCACATGCCCATCAGCTCCCAGGAAGCTGTGGCTAATCCTGAGCGTGGTATTCTAAGAGGGAAATGAGCAAGTGGAAGCATCCACGCAGAAACACGCAGGGTGGTGACACTGTGCCAGACGTGACCAGCAGCATTTGGAAGCAGAAAATTAGAGTGTTTCATTTTGAGTGAAAAATGGAAGAAAGCAGCCCATGTCTCAGAAACACAGGGCCCGGCGGGGCTGCAGCTGTGAGGTGCTGAGGACGGGCAGGCCATGGTCAGAGCTGTCTGGAAATACACTCCACCTGTGGCGTTTTATTGAGCCATGGCAAGGCCAACTGGAAAGTGACTCACAAGTTTGGCTAGGAGCCTGTGCGTAAAAGTGGGAGGAGGAGATAATAGCTCTTAAGACCGGAAGGTGAGGCAGAGGCCACACAGGATAAACTTGACCCTGACAGAGACTCTGGAGGAAACTTGAGGTGAGCTGAGTCTGCTGGCAAAAGCCTTTAAGTCCATGGCTTTATTCTCCCCACCCCACCTTTTTTTTTTTTGGTGGGAGTAATATTTTTCTAAATCAACTTTTTTGAAAGTGTGACACATCTATGTCACACAGCCATCTTCCATATCATTTATAAAATATATGACAATTCAGGTTCTAGTACTGTGGTTAAAGTAAACAAATTTCTAGTTTCAAAGTATTTAAAGACGTAATTTTTACTCTCACATTTTGGTAGCTCCTTTTATTAGAATGTTAACTAAGTCTCCTTTACTAAAATGGCATGTCCAAACAGAGAGCTCTTTTTACGACACTAATAGAGTCTTGCTAAGAGATACCAGGGCCATTTTTCCTTCTCAGTGTCTATGTAAATAATTTCCATGAATGGAAGGTGGAATGTGACATCTCTGAAATCTTCGAAATTTCAGTGTGGGCCCTCACACTGGAATAGAGATCTTCTGGGAGAAATGACACCTCAGGGTCAGCTGACCCAGGCTGGAGCTCAGGGCCTGCCCCAGCCTTGGTGATCTGGTGGCCTGGCTACCATGTCGGTCACTGACACACATATTCTGATCCAAGTCTGATATCCGAGTGGTCAGTGTGTTTCTAACTCACCCCAGGGTCCTCCTTTGACCTAATCTAGGGGCAATGTCCAGGACATCCCTGGTCTACTAGTGTGGAGGCAGGAGACTCAGAAGAAAGCAGACTAGGTCTGAGTCCTGAGAAAGCAGCAGGGAGATAGGGATGGCATAGCAGAGAGATAAATCCTGAGAAATCCGAACATGAGGAAGTTCACGTAGCACCAGGGAGGGAAAGTCACCTAGCACTAGGGTAAAGTACCCAATAAAATCAAATAGAACCATATATGGATTAGACCTTGCTTTTTGCTTCTGCAACCTGCTTGCAAGGGTATATAAGGTGAAACCCCTTTGTTCTCGGGGCTCAGCCTTTGGACACAAGTCCACTGAATCTGTGCTAGCACAATAAAATGTTGCTTCCTGCTAAACTGCCTCAGTGTCCCCTATCTCAGTGAGCAAACTCCCACAACATTTCTTGGGGGCTCAGTATCTGGGATTGCGGAGATGGTGAGTTATCACCTCCCTTGTCACCAGGGTGCATCCCCCCAGACCGCCAGGAGGAGATCCCACCAGGCACCAACAAACAGCTTGATCCGGAGGGGGATTCATCCTCTTGGTGAGTCAGCGTGAGGGCCTCGGATGCACAATGGAACCCAGTGAGGCACAGGAACCAGCGAGGAGAGGGGAGCATTGCTCATCAGACTAGTAAGAACCCGGGTTCAAATTCAGGGCTTCCCCAGGAGGCAGAAGGGGAGATTGATCACCTCCCAATGGGACACCCTAATAACCACCTTTTGGGGGGTCTCTCAGGTTCAGGGAGCAGGATGGAAGTATGGTGCTGTATGAGAGCATACAGAAATTCGAGCTGAGACACAGGCTGTGAAGCAAGTGAGGAATTCCCTCTGGCTCTGTGTCTGTCTGGCAGTCTGTTAACAGGAGGAGATGTATGGAAATTAGAGTAAAAACACTCTCTTGGAGTGTATGATTAATAACTTTAAACAGGGATTTAATGTACTGGACTACGGCGTTAACAAACTAAAGGTCCTTTGTGAAGTAGATTGGCTTGCTTTTGGTGTAGGATGGCAGGGTCACTAGATAAAACTGTGGTTAATGAAGCTTGCAGAGTAATTAAAAAAAAAAAACAAAAAAAAACCTAACATCCTGGAGAATGGGAAAAGCCAAGAGGCTAAAACTGGTCTTCAAAAACCAGACTTTGTTGTTTATTTAAATTAAGTAGCAATTTATTGGGCGGACTGAGGAGAAATCAGAGTCTTCCAGTCTTGATGGGTAGCTTTGGTGCCTCAGTTTGCACATTTTCACCCAAAATAGGCAACATGAAGGAGGACTATGGCTCAGCCTTTGGACATGAGTCCACTGAGTCTGTGCTGGCACCAATAAAATTTTGCTTCCTGCTAATTGCCTCAAGAGTCCCATATCTCAGCTAGCAAACTCCCACAACACTAGAACCAATTACAGAGAGTAGGAGCAAAAGACTATCATTTTGAAAGGTGACACGGAGCCAGGCACCAGTGGTTCACGCCTGTAATCTTAGCTTCTCAGAAAGCAGAGACCAGGATCAAAGCCAGCCCCAGGCAAATAGTTCACAAGAGATCCTATCTCAAAAAAAAAAAAAATTACAAAAAAGGGCTGGTGGAGTGGCTCAAGGGGTAAATTGCAAGTGTGAGGCCCTGGGTTCAAACCTCAGTACCACACACATACAAAAAAACAAGATAAAGAAAAAGAAAGGTGACATGGTTGGAGATTCCAGAGACTCTGAGTCTGGATCACGAGACAATCTCTGATCTCCAGGAAACAGCCCTGCTCACCAGGGCCCCACTGCAGCCTCTCAGCTAACACAAGGTTTCAAAACAAGACTGGAGCATGGGCTCCCTCCCTGTTCCTTGTCAGAACACACCTTGGGCTCAGTTTTCCCGTGTGTCTGAATCATAATTCCTATTCTTGAATAAATGCTTCCTTTGCTCACATGAAAGCATGTAACCCTCATGTCCCATCATGCAGCCTGATGTAGTCAGGGCCTAGCTACCTTCAATGCCCTCAGCATCCTCACACCAGCTGCTGCCCTGTCACAGCACCCTCACACCTGCAGGCGCCAGCTCCACCTGTGTGTCTGCTGCACACACACTCACTATCCCACCCTGGGATGTCTGGAGAAAGACTTAGAACCAGAGCCCACACCTCGGTAATGCTGAGAACAGCACAGCTGAGGAGAAGTCACACTTTGTCTTCCAGTCACCCCTTCCCCCTTTTCCTGTTACGTGGAAGTTTCCGTAATAGGAAAAAAGTGAAGAAAAGTTGAGGTGGACAGCACAGAGAAATGACATGGTTTCTCTGCAAGCCCCGATATCTTGCCATAGCACTTCCACTCCCTGTCACTTCCCGGGACCGTTATCAGGTCTGACATAATTTTCCTGCAGCTGTCACTACCCCGAGGTTC